GGGTGCAAGTTGAATAGCTCTGTTGCTCCTTCGCCATTTTACTATTGAGAACAGGTGTTCAGTTCCTTTAAGCATTCGGAAAGGGAGGGGTTGATAATATTCCCATGCCTGGACACGTTTTTTATTGCTGTAACACAAATGCGGAGGTGTATTTTGCTTTTTTTTGTATTTTACTTTTACGCTAACATGGTACCAATCTTAATGAATCCGGTTATTTGTCATTGTCGGTGCTTCTTATTGCGAAGGGGGCTTTTCTTAAATTTCGTCTTTTAAATATATTTTTAGTTAAAGTTTTCGATATTGTTGGATTTTTTTAGTAAGTGATGCTCTTCTTGCTTCCTAATTGCTCTTCAAAGTACTTCCTTTGCAATGATGAAAACCCAACTGTAAGTACCGTTTTATGTTTCTTAATGCTTCCAAGTTGGCAGTGGCTTCTTATAGTCATGATCCTTTTAAATCACCATCGTATTTCAGATACCTTAGGATTTTCCAGTCCAGTGCCTAGTTTATCAGAAAACGATTTCCCCTCTCAGGTTCGAGCCGTTACTTTAAATAAGTCAGTGAAAAAAATTACGAACTTTCAGTGATTCATTCATTCAGCTATGTGTAAAGTTCCAGAGAATTTGTGCAGCTTAAGTTTTGCCTCCTAAACAATCAAGGAAGCATGAAGGGGCTGTTACAGTACTTTCCAATTTCCCCGTCTTTCACCGTAAAATGTTTCGGGTATTTCCTTAATAGAAATGTATAGTAACAGTGGTTGAATAAGACTTAAAAAGGAAGGTGGGAAATGAGAATTTCGTAATGGGTAAAATTATTATAATGGTAAGAAATGTTTCAGTAGTTTAACCCATGATTTGGGACATACCGTGGCTTTTTGATCACGGTAGAATTTTGTTGGTTTTTTCGCGGAACAGATTTTGAGGCTAAAATTCATACAATTTAGAATATTTTCCATGATTGTTACGATCATCTGCTGGTCAGAATGGCAGTGATTATAATGCCCGTCTTTACTCATTCCAAGGAGGATTTTTTGTGATGCTGTTCTGGCGCCACTGCATTCATGCATATCTTCCTAGTGCTCTGATTTTTTGAATAAAACTAATAGTAACTGTAGTGCTTGTTCATGTAACATGTGAATTACGCAGCATGTGGTATTACAGTCATAATCCTTCAATCATGATATACAATCGTGATATTTTTTTTTGGCGATCACGAATTCAAACATTCTTTTTCAGTAATAAAAATCGAAGCTCAACAAATAGCAACAGTTGTCTTAATGGAATGCGAAACTACCGTATTTCTGGACATGTGATGAATCAGCAAAAAAAAAAAATTGCCACAGAAAATTCATAGGAAGATTGAAGTGCTCTGCTATTTTTCGCGGATTTTATTAGATTGCATTCAAATTTCGGGAACAATATGTACTGCTACTAACGCGAAAAAATAAATGGCAGCGCACACCAGGATAGTATGATCATGCGTTTCACGCAGTTTCGATCAGCGGATGTTTTTCTCCAAAGGATTTTCACTGTTTTACACTTTGGTCTGTGCAAAAATAATCGATATGGTTCCTAAGTTGCGAAATGTCCCGTTGAAAATTCCACGTGCCAGTACGTGGGACACAGACGTATTTGAAAGCTGAATTTGAAACCTTGAACGGTGGATATTGTTCCAAAATTTCACCTTCCTGCTTCTCCGGCTTCTGAGTAATTTTCGCACCGAAATTTCCACGTGGCCATACGTGAGGCCTCTCCATACTTTGGAGCTGCGTTTGAGTTTGTTAGGCCCCTATATAAGCCGGAAACATCCTTCTGGAGTTTCCAGCCTCCAGCTCTTCTCGTTCTCGAGATAATAATTTTTCCCACCAAAACTTTCATAAGCCGTGCTCAACACCCGGGTTTACATGAAAGCTGAATCCGAACTCGCGGGGTTTTACGTGGCAAGGAGAAATTACCCTAAAACTTATCCTCTTATATAGTACTTTGGCTCACTATTGCTACCATCACGGTTGGAGGGAATTTGTGCTGGGATGTTAATTTTGCTTTCCGGGATTGTTGGAACCCAAGCTACACTATATCTGGAGCTACCGTATCAGACAAATACCCTCCTAATTACAGTTTTTCTTCCCCCTCCCCCACCTCCTCGGCCCCGCCCACCACTCTGGCACTCCCCTCCCCCTCTCCTTCCCTCCTTCCCTGTAATAACTATTTATAGTTTTTCAGCGTTTTAAGCTGTACAACGGTTCCTGCTAAAGGCACGGTATGTCGAAAGCAGCATGGTGTGATATATGCAATGTGCAGCTCTCATCGGAATCACTGCTCAGCGAACACAGCAAAGGCAAACGGCATCAAAAGAAAAGTGCCGAACGGGAAGCACTGCTGGCATTGGCCAGTCGTTCAGTGTTTCTTTCGGGCTTCGATCCTGAAATTTCGGTCACCGATGAGGAGGTATATTTTTTTTCTGTGAAAAGGCCAAAAGAAGACATTTGCTGTATTTGTAACGTGTGGTGAAATGAGTGACAATTTTTTTGTAGTTATTGTGAGCGTAACTAACTCATCGGATGAGGATGCTAGTAATTCAAATATTAATTTTTTTCCTTTTTTCGTTCTTGAAAAAATCTAGCTATTAATTTTTCCGTGGTAGAGTGAATGTGGGATGGATGTGGTGGTCGTTGTGGCGCGAGGTACACAAGGAAGCGTTTACTGGATGTAAAAAAAGAACGGAAAACAGCAATCAGAGTAACGGTTATGCCAGCCTAACCATATGTTGGTGGGAAGTGATGAGCTCTGCCAAAGTCCCGTGGGGTCCAGTCGATGAGTGTGACGACGCGGAGAGTTGAGTTGAAAACAGACGTGTAGAATCAATTGGAGTCGAGACCGGGAACAAGACCAGGACCAAGAGTGACGAAAATGGGGGTGTATATGGAGGCTAAAGGGTCCACTCCGGAAGTGAAGGAATTTTCCTCCATTCCGATGATGAAGGCCCAAAAGGCGCTAGACAGGTGCGTTAAAAAAAGTTGTTGACCAAGAAAAGGATGGAATTGGAAGGAATGTGAAGATTATTAAATAAGGTGAAGATGAGGTAGGGGGTAGGATTACTCTAATGAATCATGAGAAAAAGGAAATAGAAATAGCATAAAAAAGTATGTATAACATATTTGTACCTATTTATAATAGTTTATATCGACTGGAGTGCGGTGATTTGACACCTGATTAGTGTAAATGTTAGTTTTTGTTTGTTTTTCCGTTCGTGAAAAAATCTAGCTACCAGTTTTTCTGTGATGATTTATACTGATTAGAGTGCGGTAATTTGACTCTTGAAAAGTATAAAAATCTCGAAAAACGTAACACTTTCTAGTGTAGATATGATTTAAATTGTTTTAAAAGAAAGTATGTGTAAAAACATGGTTTATTTAGAATTAAATGGAAAGTAATAAATACTGTATATGTGTAGTAGAATAAAAGGATTGGACTTGCGTGTCATGTATAAGAAGACATTTTATGATGCATTCTCTGTGTTTCATCCCTTAGCTGTAAGCAGAGACCGAATTAAGCGTGCGGGTAGGAGCGGGAATCATCAGTACAGCCTCCTACCCGCCTGTACAATATATGTGTATAGAATAACGGAAGAAGAAAAATAAAGAATCAAAGTAACTAAAACAAAATAAGTAAATAAGACTTGAGCAATTGATTTTTGAGATAAGTTATGAGTGAAATAAGTGACTTGTGAGTGATATGAGTTAAACATTTACAGTATAAATTAGTGTAAGAATATTTATGAAAATTACAGTTATTATACGGTGAAAGGGAGAACGACGGAATAGTAAGATAATCCAAAATATGTTTTTTTTTTTTGAATTCGAATTCTTCTGCTGCATAAAAAAAAGAATTCATATTGTACCTTGTGCAAATTTAGTAGAAATTTGGGTTAAAATTATCGCAAAATTCCCAAATATGCTCAAAATGGGGCTGAATTGCAGATTGCTGAAGCACTGAGTTGTTTTGGCAAGGTGGAAAAGGTGCAGTTGGATACGCGGAAAAAAACATTTGCATTCGTTGAATTTAGTGATGAATTTTCGGCGCAACGAGCCATATTCGAGGATAAACTTCGTATTGGATATGTAAGTTCTGAGATACTGTTAATTTTTATGCATTTTTTTTTCAACAGCACAAAATTGTACTGTTAGAGAGGTTTTGCCACCAACAGCACAAAATTGTACTGTTTAGAGAGGTTTTTGTCCTTTGAAAAGATAAGAGAGCGGAAATTTTGGACGCTTAATTTCCATCGGCTTGCGGAAAATCCTAAACCTGAAATCATTTTCCATATTTCGATTTTTTAAAATCATTATCCTCGCTTTAATGTTAAGAAATGAATGAGAAACTATAAACAGGATGATTTCTTGGTTTGCCTTGGATATCTTTTTCCTTTTATTTGTTCGTCGCTGCTTCAAGGTTGTTCGCTAATTCACAATATAGGTGAAGCATTCCACTTTTTTTCGTGATTTTATCAGTGCTTCTTTCAGCAAACCGTTTTGGTGAGAGCGCGCAAAGTAGATTTCAATCAGGCCCAGTCAAAACCCCAAGAGCAATCGATTGTTGTGAGCAAAATTATCCATCGTATCAATCAGACGTCGTTTGTTTCTCAAGTGGATGCTTTAATCAGTTTCTATTGCCTCACTGATGCGCAGGTGATAAGAAGTTTACTTTTCTCAACTTTTCCTTATTT